AATTATTATTCTTTTTAAAGGTGGTTGAGGGAAAATTTCATTTAGTTAGTGGCATGTAATGATAGGGGCAGCTCAGAAGAGAAGCAGTGCTGCATTTTCAAGCACAAGACCCAAGACCCTTTATGACAGGTGAAGTCTAGGGTCCAAAAGAGGTTTGCTGTCCAGTCACCTGGAATGGTCTTACCCTGACAGTGATATCAGGCTTCTGTGCAGGAAAGAGTAAAGGGGGAAGAAGAATTTGGATAGGTCACAGTTGAGTTCATCTACCGATTCATTCTAAAAGTATAAATTGAGTATCTACTATGTGCCAGGCACACTCTTCTTCTAGACTCTGGAGAACAATGCAATGAAGAAAACAAGGACCCTTCATAGGCCTTACATTCTAGTTGGGGGTAGGAGAAGATGACAAGGAAGGAAATAAGCATAAAATATGTCAGGAGGTGGTAAGTGGTATAAAGAAAAATAGGTAAGGGGTAACTAAGAGGGGCAGGGTGATGAGAGCCTTTGGAAAAGTTATTTCCCTTGTCTAACCCCAGCTTCCTTACCTATAAAATAGAGCTAACAGTATCTATCTCAGAGGTTTTCTGAGGATTAAATGAGACAATGGATATAAACTACTTTGCACAGTGCTAGCACTTAAAAAGTACTCAAAACAAGTTGGTTCTTACTCATATGTAATTGGAAAGGTACTATTCCAAGAGGCACTGACATTCAGGTCAGCTGCAAAAGGCAGTGTGCTTTACAGAGAGGGGTAAGAATGAGTCATGAAACACAGTAACAACAACAAAAGCAGGTCTGGGAGGCCTCCAAACGGTTATGCTATTCTTAACTAGGAGCTCTGGTAGCATAGTGCCTAAGGCACTTGACTGCTAACCAGAAGACTGGCGGTTCAAACTCACCAGTCACTCCTCAGAAGGAAGACTGGGCAATCTACTTCCATAGTGATACTGCCTCAGAAACCCAAGGAGGGTTCACTATGAGTCAAGTTTGACTTGACGGCACATAACAACAACAACAACATTCTTAACTAGTAACTCTGTTTTAATCAATGAGTTATGTCAGTAAAATGTACTATCTTATCTAAAGGTGTTTGTTAATGTACATTTGGGAAGATTTCTTGAAGTGTTCATTTATACAAGCTAAACTGTCACATTCTTAGAGCTTTGAAAGAGAATATTTTAAGCTAAGATTGAGATTAAAAAAAAAAAAAGCTTCACTTTGAGTACTGCTAACAGGCAAAAAGAGTAATATTCATAGCCAGTTATGGTCCTCATAGCCTTTTTTTTTTTTTTTCCTTAAAGAAAAGCCATATCTTAATAAATCACCATTAAAGCAAGCATAAATTACTTCTACCTATATTGAATGTAGTTTGATGCTTTTAAAGTTTGACTTTTATATTTCCACAGTCATGTCATTACTTTATGAAGTCATTGTTTCAACAGCTGTTTTCAGGTGTTTTTTTGTTTAAAAAAAAAAAAAAAGACTATTCCTTGAGTCCACGGATTTGCAGTATGATGTCATTTAACCTGGCACACATTTGAGGCTGGGATCCCAAAGAGTTAAACCATGCATTTGAAGCTTCCTAAAACATATTTTAAAATACTTTTTAGACACTTGAAATAGCATTTTTTGTGTTCTTAAAAGAGTTAAAATTTCATGAAGAAATTTTATTATGTTTTCTGTTCTTTAATGTTGGATTTATAAGACTAAGAAATATAAAATTTAAAACTAATTTATTCTAAGTAATACAGATAATGATATAGGACTTTTACTGTCCATTTAAGAGGTTGCTTTAAAATATACATAACATAGCTTTCATAAAGTTTTTCAGGTTTAGATAATCTATTTCATCAACAGGTTTTGGAGTCTAACTCTAATCCTCAAACACTTTGTAACCTATTATTATATCTTTGTTATTTGCAAACTAAGAGGAATCTAAACAAAGCATTGTCTCCTAAAACAATAAGAGACAAGCAGAGAAATGAAGAAAAAGTTTCCTTAGTAGCTCCACAGAGGTGTATAGCATCTCAAACTCTTCATTCTGACAAAGTAACTACATGTGGCACAAGCCATGATGTGAAGTTATGGTGTCAGTCTACAAGATGATGACTAGACAGTGGAACAACTTTTAATGGCCTACATTTGGGTTTTTTACCTGCAGAAAAAGATTTTTAAAAATACAAGTTGTGCATTTAAAAATAAAATGTAAATGGATCAAATCTAATAACCTTTAGTAAGTACAGGAAGGATCCTAACCTGGAGTTTATGGGTGGGCACCAGATCAGTAAACACTCTGAAATGTTATGCAAATTACTTTTGTATATATGTAATCTGGGAAGGAGACAGGCAGTCATAGCTATCAGTATCTTAAAATATTTAAGATTTATTGACTTAGTGCAGGACCAGGTGCAAGTGAATCATATTCTCTGAATTATGCTGCAGTGGTGGTAAAATATGAGGAGTTCTCATGTAAATGTGGACACTTTATTCTCTGAAAGCAGCAATACTCCAGCACTGTAATGACTTGCTTATTTGTCTGTCTTTTCTATTGCACAATATATTACCTAAAAGCGTGGATAAGGACTTATAGGTTTTTGTCTTCCCAGTGACTAGTATAAGTAGGAACATGATAAGTACCTATGGCCAACAGCTTGTTTCTGTTCAACCAGTGGCCAGGAATAAGAGTTCTATTTGAGTTTTTCTTTAGATCAAAAGAGCAGAGAACATATAACTTTGGCTTCATTAGCAGAATACAAACCAACAGAAGCAACTGGCTTGGAGTCCTACATCTTCATGATATACATACATAAAGTTTTTCATATTATCATCTTATTAAACAAAATTCTTTATGCAGCATCTAGGCAGCAACTAGGCTGCCATTATGAACACAGGGGAGCAATGCAATGGCTAAAAATTCATCTGACCGAGACTCTCTCACTAAAGAGTACACATCCATCAGGCAACCTTACATAAATGGTTACTACTATATTGTTCGGAGGAGCTCTGGTAGCATAGTGGCTAAAGCACTTGACTGCTAACCAGAAGGCTGGCGGTTCAAACCCACCAGCCACTCCTCGGAAGGAAGGTTGGGCAATCCTACTTCCGTAGTGATACTGCCTCGGAAACCCAAGGAGGGGTCGCTATGAGTCGGGGCCAACTCGACGGCACATAACAACAACAACAACATATTGTTCGGGAGCTCTGGTGGCATAGTGCCTAAGACATTTGACTGCTAAACAGAAGGCTGGCAGTTCAAACCCACTAGCCACTCCTCAGAAGGAAGACTGGGTGACCTACTCCCATAGAGACACCACCTCAGAAAGCCAAGAAAGGGTCGCTATGAGTCGGAATCAGCTCAATGGCAGTGAGTTTGATTTTTTTTTTTTGGGTTGTAATGTTTTAGGCTTAGCTCAAGTATCACCTTCCCTCAGGTCTTTCTAGTAACTTTCAATGACAAAATTAATTTCTTCCTCATCTGTGCATTCTAGCTTTTTACACATCTACATTTCTAGAAGCACTTAGCATCTTGTATTATTATTGTTTGCTTGCGGGTCTGTTGTTCCCATTAAATATGTGCTCTACAAGACAACAACAACAACAAAAACCCACCGCTGTCCAGTCAATTCTAACTCATCATAATTCTAAAACACAGAGTAGAACTGCCCCATAAGGTTTCCAAGGCTGTAAATCTTTATGAACACAGACTGCCACATCTTTCTCCCACAGAGTGGAACAGCTGGTGGGTTCAAACCATCCATCCACCTTTAGGTTAGCAGCTGAGCACTCAACCACGGTGTCACCACGGCTCCTGCTAAGACAGCAACTGTGTCTTATTTACCGCTGCATCCAACAAAGCTGTAGCATAATTCTGAGAACAGAGTGGACATTGAATTAATGCTGAACCAAAATGGTTTGTTTCTACCTAGACAGTCTGTGGTCCTCAGGGCTAACAGCTTGCTTAGATTCATGCTGACCAGATCCTGTCTTTAAAATCAGCCCCGAGTTCCAGCAATGCAGTTGCTTCCCAGCTGCCTGTGGAAACGTTGTAGTACTGCAGCTGTGTTTTATTGAGTTCTTGAAGCATTTTTCCTGTCCACCCTGGGCCCATCTAGTCTTGCATCAATTCCTTGTGTAAACAGCTGCTAAGCTATCCTGCTGTAGTCAATTCTCCTCACATACTTAACCCAGCCCTGCAGATTTTGCAACATCGTTATCTTCAGTGCTTGAGAACAAACACTACAAGTCTTGAGGAAGAAGTCGCCCGGACATTTGATGTTAAGGATTGAATACAATATTTTATTTGACTCTGCTTTCCAGAATTTGTCATTATTAAATATTTCTTTCCTTACTTTCATGTTTTAAAAGGGGATTTAAAATGTTAAAATAGTCTCATCCCAGATAATGTTTTAGACATATCTCATTACATTTTTAAAATTTACTATTGCCCCCTTTTTAAAAATGAGTTCATAAATATTTGTTTTAAAATTTGTAATTTAAGATACAAATGAAAGTTCCTATAGGAAGAATAAATGTACCAGCACCTGTAAAAACAACGCCAATTCTTTTTCCTTTAAAAAGCAATAGTTAATGCGAAAGATTTGTTTCTTCTTATGCCAGATTCTAGCTGCTTCACTTTGTTTAAAACTGACTTCAAAGTTTAAACACTGTCCTGTCCCAACAAATAACCTCCCCCAAATGGAATTATCTCGAGTACTATCCTTAGTGCTCTGAATACCACACCTGCAGCCTTTTAATTCAACATTTTATAAACTTTCCAAAGGGAAATGATAGATTTTTTTCTTCTGTTCCCCAACTTACGCCTTTTGGAGAGTTTAACTTAGTGCATAAAGGGAGTTCCTTAGATAGATGAGTTTATAGATGTTATCGGAGAATAAAAATTGGAGTTAATCTTTCTACTATGCTGATAGAAAGAAATGACAAGGAAATAAAAAAAATCTCAATAGCTCTAAGTCCAAGAACTTTTAAAGTAAAAAACTTACCTGTAGATACAGATCCAAGATATAGCTTAGGCTCGATTTGTCTCCGATCCATATCACCTGGTGAAGCTACAGTTTTTTAAAACAATTTCACAAGAAAAACAGTTTAGCATGGAAACAACCATGATTCATTTCCATTAACCCCAAACAAAACCACAAACCAGATGCACTTCCACAGTTACTCCATAAAACCAGGTAAACAGACGCTTGATCTAGTGGCCTTAATGTAAAGAAGGAAGTTAAACAGCTGAATTTTAATGACTGTCAATAGAAAAATAGTTTACCTAATGGATTATTATCTTTATGCATCAAACATGAGAGGAAGAGGGACGCAAAGGATCATGATATAATTTGCTCTTTATACTAACTAAAAAAACTCCTGGGCTATTTTCTTCCAAGGTTAAAGTTTTCCCAGATTCTCTCACTTAAGGGTTTAATCATACATAAAGTTTTGGATTTCCCTCCTCCCTAGGCTAGCCTGTGGGCACACTGCCCAGCACAATCTATCCGAAACAACCAAGTTGTCAGGGAGCACTAAGTCACAATGCACTACTAACCCAAAGACAAATTTAACATTAAAGTGAAATGTTGTTGTTGTTATGCGCTGTCGAGTCGGACCCGACTCAAAGCGACCCCTCCTTGGGTTTCCGAGGCAGTATCACTACTGAAGTAGATTGCCCCATCTTCCTTCCGAGGAGTGGCTGGTGGGTTTGAACCGCCAGCCTTTTGGTTAGCAGTCAAGTGCCTTAGGCACTATGCTACCAGAGCATCCCCCTAAAGTGAAATAGGCTAGAAGAAAATATTTTTATGGTTAGAGAATTATGAAGCAGAGAAAAGTTAAATGACTGAAGAGAGAAACCTGTAGCACAGGCCAACAAGATATTCTGGGTACCAAGTGCATTTGTCCACACTGATGGCATGTTGTGAACCTACACTGGAGTGCTCTGAAATCATAACCATCAACAGCTGTAGTTCTAAACAAATTCTTAGGACAGAGTGATATGGAAAAATATAATATGGTATAATCAGTATTTTATGTTTTTCTCCAAAATAAATAGTAAAGTCTGATTTAAAGAAAAAAAATCAGGTGGGTTTTGGAATAAATAGAAACTTTTAATAAAATCACAAGCATTACATAATTCAATAAGAAGCAATACAGTTTTAACTGGTGACAAATATTAATGCTAAACTACTCTAACTGTGCTGTGGAAAATGTTAGAAAAAAACCTGTAAAGTATGTTAAAAATGAAATGCAAGGCAGATTAATGAAAAAAATAATAAGGCTAAAAGGAAACAGTTTTAGAAGAAAATGTATTCATAAAGGTAAGATAGTAGACAAATACAAGTTATTTGTATGTCTGATAATCTGCAAATAGACCAAAATTGAACATCTGAATTTAATATACCTTCAAAAAAATCTTTAAATGCTTTCAAAGTGGTGATGGTGGCAGGTGAATTGATTCCAACTCATAGTTAACCCATGGACAACAGCAGAACCACTCTATAGGGTTTTCAAGGTTGTGTGACCTTTTGAATGCACATCACCTGGCCTGTCTTCCTAAGTGCCCCTGGGTGGGTTCCAACTTCCAACCTTCTTGTTAGTAATCCAGTACTTATCCATTTACACCATTCCAGGGCCTCATTTTAAAAGTGCTTACTTTTAAATAGTCTAACTACTGCACACTCTGCTCACCTCCTCTGCCTCTAAATCTGTGAAAGTTACAGAGAGAGAGAAGTTACTGCTTGGAAACTCCTGTATTAGAGATAGTCTTTCATATTCTACCAAGCATATATAGTACAGACATAGATACAAAAATACCAGTCCATTAATGAGCCATTTTTCTGTACAAGCAAAATTAAATGACAGTCTTTTCTGAAATGATTATCTGGAATGTATCTGTTGTGTTATGCTAAGAGACAAGCTGTATCACCCCCTTCCATACTAAACAAAGCTGGATGGAAACTAAGAAAAGAAAACCTATCTCAGGTCTAGCTAGAGCTCAATCAAAGCAACAACAAAAAAATTAACTACTTCCTCTGTGTCCAGCATTATGCTAGTTGTGAAGACTACAAAGAAGAATAAGATACCATCTCCATCCTCTTTAATCAGGAAGACAAAACTAACACAGAGAGGGCGGCAGAAGTGAGCAAATCTTCCAAAGAACACTCTTGCTCCATCTAACATATGAGGGATTTTAAAGACCAAGAACTAATTGAGTTATCTGATTATACCACTACTACATGCCAATGTTTCTACTTGTCTAATTCAATTATCTTTCCATTCTTGGTTATTTTTAGTTTTTCCTTCTTGCTCTATCATCTTCTTTTTAATTCTCCTTAAGAAGGTGATGTGCATTGTACTGGATGACTTTGGAGAAGGGGCTATGAACCCTCTCCTAAACCAGTGATTCTCTACCGAGTGTTGGGATGAGGAGAACTCTGAATCAATGTCCTGCTTTTTCAAGCTAACAGAGGCCTCCTTCTACTCTGATAGGCCTGAACTCCAGTGGGGGTGTATCTCCCAAAGGGAGTCACTGCTACAGAGAAACATTTTCAAATTAGTAACTAACCTAAATGAGAATCTTATACACTCTATTTTCTTTATAAAACAAAAAGAGGAACACTTCTCTAATATTCAAACTCTTTGCTTAATAAAAACTTTCTAAAGCAACAGCTTATTGCTGCTTTGGCTGCTTTATTTACAAAGCAAGTTTTAACTCAATGACAATTATTTCATTACCAAGCCAGTGCATACCTTAGTCATTTCTTTATATCTACACCAAAGCCACATTAGTAAAAACTTCTGAAGTGAAATAACACACAAAATCTCTTAACATTTTTAAGATGTGTCTTCAATATGCCACTTTACAGGGTGAAGTAAAATTATTGCAATGGTACATTTTCTTAAAGGACTAGAAAACAAATAGCTTCCCTCCAATTATCCATCTTCATTTTCCCTAAGATGCCTAATTCAGATCCTGATACACAGTTGCTCAAGAAATACCCAGCTGACTGATGTTTCTGAGACCTCTGTGTCAATTGGATACATCTTACAATCATTTAAGGATTATTTTCTAGAAGAAACACCCACTTTTTTTCCTATTCATTGTATACTGTGGAATGTAAGATAAAAATAAAGTTTGCAAATAAATGACAACCACCACTTTACACCAGAAAGGCAGCTGTAAAGTCGTGCTCTTGGAAGCTAGGCTGCCTGAATGTGAATCACAGCTCCTGCCCTTACTAGCTGTGAGACCTAGGAGAAATGTCATCATCCCTTGTGTCTCAGTCTCCTTTTCTACCTCATAGGATTCTTAGGATAACTAACAGATATGACATATGTAAGTAACTTAGGGCAGTACCTGGCCCAGAAAAGGTACCCAATAAATGGTAGTTTTATTAGCTATGATTACTTTGCAATTTTCCTAATTGATAAAGATTCATTCTCATTAGGCAAACTGTTAAAATTATTTTTTCCACAGGAAGTTGTTTTTTTTTTTTATAAAAAGAAAAATATAATGATTGTACATTACAGCAGAAGAGCTACAAAGGATCTCAGAGATCATGTTATCCTTATAAATAAGGAAATCAAGGCTAAGACATGTTAACTGACAAAGAAGTCAATGCCACAAATCAGTATCACAGACTAAAATCCATAGTAACTGGTCCTTTCCCCACCTTTCAACTTTTTCCTTCTTTTCTAGGATGTTTTCAGATACTGAGATCTGAAAGAACACTCACAAATGACCCGTTCTGCCTATGATTACTATTACTGACAAAACAGTATGGTTAGGAGAATAGGCTTTGCTTTCAGAATGGAACCTGGATTTGCCTCTCAGCTTCATCAGTTGTGTGTCCTTGGGCAAAATATGTAACTTCTCTGAGCCTCAGGTTCCTCAAGTATAAAATAACATTACCTACCTAATTGATTTCCCTTGTTACCCTCCCAAGAGGGACCGGGTCTCCGGGAGCAAGGTAAGCATGGGCGGGCTGGTGCTTACTCACTGATCTGCACTGAACACTTTCCCTTGTTACCCTCCCGAGAGGGACCAGGTCTCCGGGAGCAAGG